TCGTGAATCTCTGTTCCTGACTTTGAAATGCTCCAAGTCTCTGTCACTCTGTTCTTCTCCCCTCTTGATGACATCACCTATGAACATTTGTAGAGATGCTCTTAATTTTCCCCAAAACTTGTTTTTTTGATGGGATATCTTCAGGGAACCTCACAGCTGACTGTCATGCCAGTGTTGCTGTCTCTTCAGATTGTCTGTGTGTTTCCTGATGTTTCCCATCCAATCTATGTTCAACTCTTTCTGTATTCAATCTCCTATTTTAAGGTCTTTAACGCAGGGATCATCTCCTTATTCTGTATTTATACACCATTTAATGTGATGCAGATGTGGTATATATAAAATTTATATAAAAATATATCTATCTATTGGCCAGGGACAAAAGACTTAGTAGCATGTTAGCATTTGAAAATCTCACAAATAATAAAAACTATATATTTTTTCTGTCCCTACTTTGGCTCCTTTGGTAGTTATGATATCAGCTGCTTTGTGTGGGGAAACTGAAATGGTGAACTCTGATCTCGCCGGGTAAGAAACATTTTTGTAAAGCTGTGCATTTAGACTAATTCTGTCTGCCATACAATGTGCTGAGGATTTCTGATCCTCAGCAGGCATTTGACAGATCTAAGCTAGTTATGCTATGTCTTGTCAATCAAAATTAAACGCCTACTTCACTTCTTCCTACTTTATCTCTCTTCCGGCTTTTTTATTTAGGTTGGTCATTAAAATTGCTTATAACCATAGAAACGAGGAAAACCCGCCCCTTATGTTCCAGATCTTTAGCGTGATATTCCTCTACTGACATCATGTGAGTTTTACACGATGGCTTAAAAAACCCCCAAAAACCTGCAGGCAAGCAGAGTAGTCATTAATTCCTTCCTATAATGGACTTGTTCCTATGGATGCCAACCAAAGATCATGTCCCTCTTGCATTCCTGTATGGCGTCCAGCAGAAGGAGAGACCCTGCTGCGGAGAAACCGCCTGACAAGACAAGAGTTGGAGAAGAAAACAGATCCGTGGGATGGGAAGGGTGGGAGGATGAGATAAGGAGAAGATGGGATGGCGAGAAGTTCAATTCACAACGTAGTGCATGTTGATAATTTCACTGTTGGTTTTCATCCTTCTAGGTCTGCCTGCAACACTGGGTGCTCTGAGAGAAACTGGCTGCTCATGGCTTGGACAGGTGTACTCTTCGCTGGGTAAAAAACTGGCTGGATGGCCGGGCCCAAAGAGTGGTGGTGAATGGAGTTAAATTCAGTTGGTGGCTGGTCACAGGTGGTGTTCCCCAGGTCTCAGTACTGGGGCCAGGTCTGTTTAATATCTCTATCAATGATCTGGACGAGGGGATCGAGTGCACCCTCAGTAAGTTTGCAGACGACACCAAGTTGGGCAGGAGTGTTGATCTGCTCGAGGGTAGGAAGGCTCTGCAGAGGGACCTGGACAGGCTGGATCGATGGGCCGAGGCCAACTGTATGAGGTTCAACAGGGCTGAGTGCTGGGTCCTGCACTTCGGCCACAACAACCCCATGCAGCG